AAAAAAAAAAAAGAAACACTCCCCGACTTACCATTTCCCTTCTTCATTCTCATATTGTTGAACAGTATATCCAAACATATCCTCCACGGGACCACTGAAAGTCATGGAGTTTTTCACATCGACGTTGAATGATACACAGAAGCCTAAAATAGCTTTAAAAGAGCAGAGAGAGAGAGAGAAAAAAATCCAGTTACACAGAGTAAAGCAAGGTACCATCATATATTGAATTAAAGAGGACCTCTTGAAAGTGGCAAGCTTATTTAAAGGAGCAATGATGCTCCCAAAACAAGCACAATAAGAAAGGCTTATGATATTAAGCTTATTACAGGAAGAATTATCAACACAAAAGCTTCAAAGCATGCAAATATTCATGTTCAAACAAAATTCCATGGTAATTTAGTGTATGTATTGTCCTCAGAACTAAAGACTTCAGAATGTTCAAGGAAGGATCGGCAGAGGCTCGTGCTCACAGATGGCTCATCCAGTTGCAGACAGTGTTTTAGTGAGCCCTACAAAAACCCATGGTCACTGACTCAATAGAAACGGTCTCATTTTCCATTTTGGCTATGCAAAACCTCACCTTTTAAGGTCTCAAGAGAGGATGCTTTTCCCTCTGCTTCAAATGGAATGGCAAACCAATTGTCTCCACCCAGAGAGAGATTTGGATGGCAGCCCGAGATTTGCTCGGCTACCCTCACTCAAGTCAGCACTGGGTGGATGCTCACACTAAATCTCCTTACAGAGTTGTTAACATTGAGTCTGGTGTGGCCTCTGAAGGATGTCATATGCCTTGAAAGAACAGTCTAACGTCCCAGTCGTCTATAACACATGGATGGGGTCACGGTCACCAGAGGCTTCATAAAAACTAAATACACAATGTCTAATTAGGAATCGAATACCAAGGGAATTCTCCCCTTGGGTTCCACGTAAGTATTGTTAAGCATTTTTTTTCCATTGGGAGGTTGCTCATCCCTGGTTTCCTACCAACAGAGATTGTCCTTGCCTTCTCTGAAGTCGACATGGCCCACTCCCCCATCTTGACTTGAATTTCTGGAAGGTTTCCTTTTCATAATGGTGGGAATGTCTATGGGACTGAGGGACTGTAGCACAGTTTTGTAAGGCAGCAACTGAATAATCTCCTCCCTCACCTCCCATTTTGAGAAATTGACCCAAGCTAAGCTGAGGTCTCCTCTGTTGAAGTGATTTTGAAGATGTACATTCAGAGGGGTTGATATATGTGTCATGGATGCTAGGCAGGCTCTCTACCTTGTTTTTTAGGGGACTGGATTAAAAGAATACATGTCCTGGGAACAGAGTCTCCATCTTGGTGTTTTATCTTAGAGTAGTGGGCTCATACAATATCTGTCCTTTGCTGAACATATATTCTTCAAGGAAACAAACCAAATAGAGGTATTTGTATCTATTTATAAAATCTTTCTTGATCTCCCTTATTCACAAATAATGTTCTCACTAAATTTTAAAACATACTCCTTTTTAGTTTAGACCACTCACAAGGATAATTATCATATCTTGTCTGTATTTTAGTTATCTGTGCCAGATTTTCCGCTAGATTGGAAATTTCTGAAAGTCAGGGGCATAGTAATTCATCTTTCTTATCTCTTGTCAAAATTTCATCCAGGTCCCTGACTCCAGATGGACAATAGTCCACTTGTAGAAGGAAAGAAAACACATTGAGGGAAGGAGTGTCTTAATAGTAAATAGAGATGAACTGGAAAATACTCCATTGTAGCTAAAGAATACTTTTGGGACATGTATGTGAACATTTTAAAGTTAGTTTAGTTTGGGGGGGTGGGTGTTTTTATTTTTTTTAAGGGGAAGGAGAGTTAGCTTGGCAGGGGAAGAAAATATGTCCCAACTATGTGGGAAGGTCCCGGCACGCAGGAAGCCACAAGACGGAAGAAATACCGTTGTGAGCACAGACAGATCTGCCTAGTTGTGGAGGACACTGCAGAATAGCTGGGTGGCTCAGGGACATTTATGTACATGCCACGTTCCTTCTGCAAGCGCGATGGCATGCAGCTGGTCACCATCTCCTGCATTATTACTTCTCGTATACTTGACGGCGGTGCTACTATCTACTCCTCACTAAAGCATACCTGTGCCAACTCTTTCATCACAGGTTTTATTTTCTTCTGAATAACTTCAAGAGACGATTTCCGATCACGAGAAATGCATAAACTGGAACGTCTGCAGTAGGCTTCCGAACATTTGGGGTCAGGAAAGTCTGTTGCTCAGGATGATCTTGTGGAACACAGGCTACTTAACCAGACCCCCTGACGACATCGATGTCAGCAACAACTACTAAGTTGTGACAGTCAAAATGTCTCCAGATATTACCGAATCTCTCCTAGGGTCAAAATCACTCAGTGAAAACCGTTATTCCTACAGATAAGGACCAGAACGAAAACACTAATTGTGGGGGGAGGTCAGATACGCAGGCATTCCCCCACTGAGGGCAATCAGTTGCCAGACTGCTGTCTCATTCCTCCACAGGGGTGGGCCTGCTCCCTGCCTCTGGGGACAATGGACAGGCTCCTGTAGGAGGAGTTCGCATCCTACTGATAATGGTCTCTATCAGTTGGGCCAGGGACAGACCAAACCGGCTGTCCCTCTTC